CTTTAACATATTTCTACTTCCCACAATCTTCTATTTATTTTTATAGTTGAATGACAAACAAAACAAGTGAGCTCTGCATGGCAAGAGAAATATTTTTGGCCAAATAAAAAACACATTTCCTATTATAGGAAAAATGTAATCCAGCAAATGTCAACAATTTGAAAAACAATTTCCAGCAACTTATATTAACAGCTTACTTCATAATAAATAACAAAAGTAATTCAATCCTTACATTCCCTTACATTCAGTGTAGCATCTTTCACGTCGAGAGAATGTCTCAAAATGATTCACAGGATATACTCTGAAGTGGTCTAATGATTTTTGTGGGCAAATGCAGCAGCCAGTTCCACACAACAATGTCCCACAAACAGCCATGAAGTGAATTATTAAACTCCCCACTCTTTTTAAAAGCAGTATGGGATCTTTAACATCTATCTGGACAAGTGGATAGGATCTTGGTTAGAAACATAGAAACAGGAATAGACCATTCAGCTCCTAGAGCCTGTTCCAGCATTCTACAAAGATCATGGCTGATCTGTATCTCAAGTCCAATTACCACCCGTGCCCCCTATCCCATAATACCCTGACCTAACAAATATCAATCCACCTCAGTCTTGAAAATGTGAATGGCCTTTTGGGGGAGTGAGTTCCAGATTTCCACTACGCTTTGGGTGAAAAACTGCCTCCTGATTTCACTCCTAAATGGCCAAGCCCTAATTTTAAGATCATGCCCCTTGTTCTGGAATCCCCCACCAGAGGAAATTGTTTCTCTGTATCTACCCTATCTAATTGCTTTATTACTTTAAAAACCTCAATCAAAAAAAACCCTCAACCTTCTAAACTCCAGGTAATAGAGACCAAGTTTATGCAACCTGTCCTCGTAATTTAACCCTTTAGGCCTGGTATCAGTCTAGTGAATCTGTGCTGCAGCCCCTCCTGAGGCAATATATCCTATATGAGGTGCGGTGCCCAAAACTGAACGTAGTACTCCAGATGGGGTCTGACTAAGGCTCTGTGTAGTTGAAGGATCATTTCCTCTTTATATTCCAGCCCCCGTGAGATAAAGGCCAACATCCCATTAGCCTCTTTGATAACTTTTTGTACATCTCAGCCAAAGGATAACACCACCAAAAATGCAGCACACCCCCACAATAGAGCATCAACCTACACAAAATGAGTTTCAAGTCCTGACTCAGAGGCAAGAGTGCTAACAACTGAGCCAGACTGACACAAAGAACAACTGGATCAGATGCAACATTTTCAAAACTATGGCATTCTTAAGATTGTCTTTTGTAATACTCATGTGTTGTCTACTTCATGCTTTCAGGTTTTACTGATTATTTTGGTAATCCAAATGAATTGAGAATATATTTTTTTAAATGTTTTGAGCCTGATAGATAATATGTTTCATTGAATAACTAGCAGTTTTTGGGATTGCTTTTTTTTTATAACTGATGTGCAATCTAAACATGAAATAACTGTCCCTCGAATGAAATCTCAAGGCAATTCTGAGAACTAAATTATTTGTAAGTTAGAACTAATCACAAATAACAACAATGAGTAAGGAAAGACACAAGACTGAGCAGGGTTTTAAAATACTAAAATTACAGAAAATTGAAGCATGATTTTTTAAAATTTAGATTAAACCATTCACTACTGCAGTTCCAACTTCTTTAAATGTACCACGTGGCACTTTATAAATTTACATCACGTCTGACCTGCACAAATGTCAACAGTTTTCAAAAACTAAAAAAAACCCTATTAAGTTATCACTTAGCAACATCTTAAATTAGTTTTTAAACTGCAAAGGGTAAGAATTGTAAAACATGACATTCTATCTCGGATACCACAACAAGGAAGTTTAAACAGAACATCTCATTAAAAAGTCATACATACTATAAAGATTATCTGAAACAGGCTGTCACTTCACAACCTACTAGCACCAAGCTAATCTCAAATATTTTGTAGTGCATTGTTTCTGATCAATAACTAATTAACAAAGTACAATAGAATTTGCACTGGCTCTTAGATTCCTTGTTAAAAATGGCTTTTGGCTGCACATGAACAGAAAGGTCGCCTTTGTGACATCTCTGCAAACCTTTCAACATCCTGCCACTGTCAGATTAAATTACTTTTAGCAATTAATTGACATACGTTAAAACAGAGCCACAGTTGTTACAGCAGGTTGTCATAATGACATGGCGGGAAGTTGTTTTGATATGAATTTCTTCCCCTGACCTGCTATCATATCAGAATTTTTTTTGGTTGACCTAACCAGAAGATTGGGAGGGAACCTCTAACTTGAACTTCAGAGATCTTGTCTGAAAAAGCACTCTTGTACATAGATATTGCACGATGTATAATTGAAAAGGATTCTGTAGTTACTTGGGATGAGATTCAACTGCTATTCCATATCCTGACAATGTTAGACTAAAAAGTTCTTTGAATTTTTCTTTAGTTGCCATGGCATAGCACAGATTAAGTGGATTAAAGGAACCAAGCAGCTGCAGTTAGTAAAAACTGGCAAAGTACAAATGTTTTGCATGCCGTAACCCATTGAGTCTTATACTTTATAAACATGAAGATATCTGTAACAAAGCTGCAATGTGTCTCTTTAAGAAACATTTAGATCTTCTTGCTTATTGTCCTCTATTCTCTGAAACACTTCAATTCTTGGCCAACCTAGTTAAGCCCCAGTGAACTCCCTTTCTTGGCTTTAAAGCCATCAATGTCTTTTGTCTGTAGTCTTCCTTCGCTTGGCTGACAGAAAATAGGTAAATGGATTAGTGCTGAAATTTCAGGGCGAAATCAGCTCCCAAATTTCTGTGTAACAAGTAATAACAGACTCCGTACCACTCTACATGAACCAATGGACTGTGATCCGCAAAAGAACTACTTTAATACAGAGATTAGGAGGTTAGGCACTCTATAGAGGGCTATAAAAGATGTTGGACTGAAAAAAGTGAGCTTGGTTAAAGCGGTTAAGAGCTTATTAATGTGTGTAAGGAACTGTATTAATCAATTGAACTTTATTTTTAACTTGCTTGTGGAGGCCCATCATGTTGTATGCAGGTGGTCTGTACCACCCCATACTGGAGTTAACCTGCACAGTGTTCACACAAAATTGTCTCACAGCTTAGAAGGCTTTGCTGCAACCACAAATGGATAACTGTTCACACACGTTGCAAGGCTTCAACGAAGCCATGGTCGACAAAAGAATGCAGCATAATTACTTTTTAAAATGTGAAACACATGAAAGGGGGAATTACGTAATTATATAATTAACAGGAAATAAGGAGTAAATCTCTTCAGACTGGCATCTAAATTACTGAAAAAATAGGATAACAAAAATAGGATGCTCATTACAAGAATCAACACTTAATGAAACAGTTGTACGTGACGATTAAGGTACGTTTAGGAGCTAAGTTGCTCCTCATTACGAATGGTTTAATTTCATTTGAATTTATAATAATAATAATCCTTGCATTGGATATTGCGGTTTTCATGTCTTCTAGGTTTCTCAAAGCGCTTCACAGAATATACTGTAAAGTGAAATGACTTGTGGGCAAAACACAGCAGCCAATTGCGCACAGCAGTGTCCCACAGACAGTCGTGGATTGAAGTGACCAATTTATTATTCTTTTTTTTGAAGGATTATTTTCCCCAAAAAAGCTATCCACCAATCGACTAATAATCTGGTTCCTACTTACTGCTAGGTAAACAGAAGCGTTGGAGTAAGGAAACTTGCCCAACATTTCACCCTGCCAGGAATCAAATCCAGGTCTTTCGCTTGTGAGGCCATTGCTCTAACCCTGAGTTACAGGATTGCAATCAATGGCATGGCCAAAGGGAGGTTTTCTAATAGAACACTGGGTACTGTGACAAACCTATTCACAAGTTCCTACATCTGATAACTCAGGAATTGTTTAAAGAAACTTTTTTGGATTGCTGTCTTCATACTTATAAGAGTCAACTTTGAAGGTTCTTTCCAGCAATCCAAAAAAGTTTCTTTGAACAATTCCCGAGTTATCAGGTGTAGGAACGTGTGAATGGTTTTGTCACAGTACCCAGTGTTCTATTAGAAAACCTCCCTTTTGCCATGTCATTGTTTTATTTATAAAATCACTTAGCCAAAGAGTTTTATAATTTGTTTGAACTTGTGTTGAATCATCATATAATATAAATACTGTATCATTAACAAATGTAAGTCAATGTCAATTTTCAATCAACTTTCAAATTGTGTGGAAATTTCCATATGGTGAAATGTGAACTCTGGGTTCTAATAAGCACCTATGATATTGCATAAACCTGGAAGCAATGTATAATGCATAGATCCAGCTAATGTCAAACTCTGAATAATATTGTCTCTGCCCCCTGCAGAAATGGAGAACTGTGGGCAGCACTGTTATAACGATCTCATGCTGCTAGCATTACAAAGTGCAAGAGTGCACTGAATAAGTGATGGAGCAGAGCAAGGGACACAATTTGCTCATTATAACATACAACTACTATTCTACCTTAAATATTTATTAAGAGATTAATAATTTCCCTTTTGTTGTGCTGCAGTTTCACTACTGAAGCTCTTTTGGAATTACTTGGCTTGTGCCACACAATTCCTAAGTAAGTAGGCTCCATAACATGAATTCTTAGTTACAGTGGACAACTTCCACAGTTTGAATAATAATTATTATCTTGTTATGGTGCATAAGACCAAACCTAACAAGTAAAATATTTTAGTTAGATTTTACCAGGAAACTCTGTCCTGGTCAATCAATAAAATTTCAGAAAATTAAATCTACCATGCTTTAACTGTTTAAATTGTTTAAAATATCATGTTTTAATAAGTTTCAGAAATTAATTGCAATTTCCAAATAAAAATACATTGGTGACATGGATACGTTATCTGTTTGCTGTTTTGTACTTTGTAAATCTACATTTGGGGGGATTCTTACCCGCTGGTTATTATATTAGTATATTACTGGAAAATGTTAAGTACTCACCCTAATGGGAATGTGCTTTGATTCTTTTTCCTTTTGAGGATTTCGGTATTTCTCATAAAAGTCTCGCCGTTTCTTTGTTCTTTTTGACTCTCATCTTTTCTCTCTTTCTTTTCTGCTGGCTCATCGGTATCATTGGCTAGTGACTGCACTTGTTTTTTTGGCTTCTCCACTTCAATGTAGTTTTCGTTGGTATTTAGGACTATTACTCCATATCCCTCCTATTTAAAATGACACAAATATTGTATTATACATAACTGTACAAGCAACAATGCAATTTTAACCTAATATTACAGACTTGTTATGAATCCTCTGGCATTCAGTTAAAAATATGAAATATGTAGGGTGTTTTCAGTTTCATTAAAATATTGAATAAATCATTAATTATACTGTTACTTCAACTACTTGTCTATTCAACTTTTACACCAAATTTGAGGTACCGCACAAGTAAGAAAGTCCATCATCAGGCATGCATAATTCCAAAATATATATAACTAATTAACCATGACAAAACAAACAACCTTTTACTTTTAAGCATATAAATCCATTTTTAATTTATTTGTACAATTTATTCAGCTTGTGTGGTAGAAAACATGAACTTTTTAACTGACTATCTAATGCTAAGTATATTTTCTATGAACAGTTTTTAAGTGTATATTTTTTATTGATAAAATGATAATGTGAAAACTTTGTGGATTTTTCATAAAGGTACTTAGGAAATAATAAGACCGTTTTCAGCAAATTGATTGAAGGAAGACTTGGTCTCTACCAATACAATTGTTACCATTGCTTAAAAATTGAACTGTACTCTGTTAATCCCATTTGATTATTTCTACACTTTTCTTGCCCACAACACACATACAATTCATTCTAGAGTGTCATGCAATTTATCCTGTGCATACATATATCATCTGGAGAAGAAAGTTTGCTGTGACCAAAAACTATTTGCATTCATGCATACTCTTCTGTTTATACTTCAGTAAAATAAGTAAATGCTAGTTAAAATTGGTTCAAGTCTCCACATTCTTAATTCCATAGAATGTTTTCCCATATTTTCGCTATCTGTGAGGAGACACAATATCCTGTCAGTAGGATGGTCCAATGAAAGCACAGATGGGATGATGCCCAGGCGGATGGTTCAATGAGAGCATGGGCGGGTTGATGGAACAGGTGAATGGTCCAATGGGAACGCGTACTCACTGAAGGTAACCCGACTGTTCAGCGCCTTGGGACGTCCTCCTGACGTGAAGGGCGCTTTGCAAATGTAATTTTGTTGTTGTTATTTGTTGTACTTAAACTTGAGCTAACTACACCAAATCCACAAATTCAGCAAATGTGGCCGCAATTTCTGGACCAAAAAAACATGACTTTCTTAGGCCTCACTTATCAGCTATTCACTTAAATGCAGTTTGGTAATGGCATTCCACACTGATTATTGAAACAGTTACAAAGAATTAAAAGGTAAAGCACTGAAAAGAAGCACTGAAGCAGACTATATTGGCCCAACAGGCAGTGAGTTCCATAATCTCACTACCCTCTGCATGAAATAGTTCCTTCTAAAATCTCTTTCAGACCTAGTCTCAATCTTTTTTGGTTTTTCTGCTTTTGGATTTCCCGACAGTGGATTCAGTGATTTGTATTAACCTTATCAAACCATTTTATAATTTTTCAAGACTTCAATTAATTCCCCCTTCATATGTACCTTCTCTAGCAAAAAAAGGCCTAACCTATAATATTAGTTGCATTTGATATGGCGCCTTCTCATGTCTTCGAGGCATCTCAAATATACTGTGGTTGAAACGCAGTGTCCCACAAACAGCCATGGATTGACTGGCCAAATCCTTCTTAATTTTTTTGGGAAGGGATTATTACCCTGGAAAAGCGATCCGCCAACTACTTACTGCTAGGTAAATAAAGGCGTGTGGAGTAAGGAAACTTTCCTGTTATATCCTTCTTATGGTGTGGAGATCAGAATTGGACAAAAAGTTTGAATTAATTCAACATCATCTACTCACTTTTATATTCTATCCCTCTGGATATAAAGCACAAGTTTCCATTAGTCTTTTTATAGCCTTATCTACCTGTGTGATCACGTTTAGAGATTTGTGGCTCTGAATCCCCAGATCTGTTTGCTACCATCTAAATGGAAGGATTATTATTATTAGACGAAAGATAGCTTCCTTATTTTTCCTGCCGAAGTGAATTACTTTACATTTTCCGACATTCAACTTAATTTGCCGTCTTTCTGCCCATTCAGATAGCCTGTTTGTGTCTTCCTACATTCTTTGTGATCCCTTTCACGCCTTAGCCTCACAGTTCCAGGTTTATATCATGCTGGTCTTAATACGGTCTCCTTCTCCAGATGACTCGTCACTTCATCTTTTAATATAGATTCTGATACCTTGACCACAATAAGTTAACTGCTGTAGTGGAGTCCTGTAGCTCATTGTTTAGAGCACTCGCAAGAGAGAGACTGGGTTCGATTCCTGGCAGGACGAAACCTTGGGCAAGTTTCCTTACTCCACACACCTGATAATAATCCCTCAAGAAAGAAAAAATAATAAATTGGTCACTTCAATCCACGGCTGTTTGTGGGACACTACTGTGCGCAATTGGCTGCCACGTTTCACCCACAAATATACATTCAATTCTCTTTACAGTGAAGAGCTTTGAGACGTCTAGAGGACGTGAAAAGCGCTATATCAAATACAAGGATTATTATTGTTATTTATTATTACCATCTGAAAGTTTTGACACCAAATCTGAATGCAAAGCACGATTCCTTTCTCTACAGGGTTCTTAAATATACATATTGGGAGTTCAGCTGGCTGCTTCCCAGTTTTCCCAAGGATTCTTGGGTGCAGTCTATCTGGGCCAGGTGCCTTGTCCTCTTTAAGCTTGTGTAATTTATTTAATACATCCCTTATCCCTATTTTAACTGTGAGCAATTTTTCACCCTTCCCCTTCTGTTCTTACTAAATTTTCTTTATCAGTTTTCTTTGTGAAATCTGAGGCAAAATATTCATTTATTATTTCTGCTATTTTCTTATCTGCTGTGAGCTTATCCCCTTCTCCCCTTAATGGTCCTATCCCTACTTTATCCATTCTTTTATTGATAACATACATACAGAATGCTTTCCTGTTTCTTTTTTATTGTTTGCTAATTTCTCCTCATAGTTCCTCCTTAGTTTCCTAATTGTCTTTTTAACCTCTTTCCTGCTGTGAAGCACTTTGAGACGTCTAGAAGCGCCACATCAAATGCAAGGATTATTATTATTACATTTGATCTTTTGGAGTTATTTGTATGCTTGATTTGGTGTTCTATTCATTTAGCACACTGACAATGATAGCAGAACCACCTTCGCTGTTAGGCATAGTATTTAATGCTACCTAAATACTGAATGTTTTTCAGCTTTCATTGGAACTCTGAATTAAGGTAACTCAACTCTGACACCACCTGGAGGAATTGGAATCAGGAACAATTCAACTGAATTGGCATCAGCCTCCTATGCTGCGTTTAAAGATCTTGGATGGTCGAATGGACAGACCAATATTTCTGAAACAACCGTTTCTAATATTAGTGAAGAGTTGATTTCTTAACCAACTACTAATAACATAAAAAAATCCTATGCTGCTACCCATGCTTGGTATTCTGAAATCTTGTTTTGTTTGGTATTCTGAAAGCATGTTTCAATTGTTTTTACTTGCTCTGATATAATGCCATGAAGAGCAAGTAGTATGAATCAAGTTTCTTCCTCCAATCGTTTTACTGACAGATGTAAAACCACTTTGCTTCCAGTAGTATATATGCAGAATCAAGTAATGGCTCCAAAATTCACCATGTTTTTGCCAAAAACATACTGCTTCTAGTAGCAATATAAATAATGCCACTGGAGACAGCACTGTTCAGTTTTGCAAATGAGTGCATTTGTGCAAGCAGTTCTGTTCCTCTTCCTAGTGTAAATCCATTACTTCTTGCAGTAGTTCTGCAATATAATTGCCATTAAATGTTCTCTTTTTATGTAAAATAAAACACGTACACAAAATATTTTTTTCATAATGAAAATAATTTGCCTTTAGAAAAAAACGTAATTTAACTCAGGTAGACTAGCTCTAAAACTCAAAATCAACACCAATTAAAGAAAACAATTTGATATTGTTCATCTTACAGTCATTCTAAAACCCACACTCAGTGTCACTTTATCCCTACTTCTTGATTCTTCTATTCTTTTCAATTTTAGTGGTGTTCTTCACTACTCATGACCTATTTCCCAAGTTGCTCACTCGTACTAAAATTGTATGACTTTCGTTGCTGATTATTATGCATAATTAACCCCCATAAATATGGAAATTAGTTTGTTTAAACTGTAGAATCATTAAATGCTAAAATATGTCAATAAATATGTTTTTTAATTGGAAATAGATTTTAATTGTTTTCTTATCGATTTAAATATGTTCTTAAAGACTAGCTCTAAAACTCAAAATCAACACCAAAACTAATCTCTGCAATCACCTCATTTATTTAAAATTTCTGTTTCAAGAACAAATTCATAATTACATGATGACAATATAGTTAAGTGTCTTTATAAAAGGATGAGTAAAAAATAAATGTTATAGACTTTGACACTTAGCACCTTGGTCAACAGATCCATTTTTAATCTCATCAGTGATGCCCTCAATGTTTACATTTGATCAGACCAGGGTGCCTTTGCAGTCAATACACTGTGAAAAACAATCTGAATGGAGCTGCCACTTACACAAAGTCATATGCCATAGCCTTTTGGCCCAGAGCTGGTGGTGGTAGTCCAGCTAAATGACTGACAGTAGCAGTGACAATACATCAATTTCAGATTTCAAAGGATATCGGCTTTGTTATGGTAGAGCAACTTGTAGGCGTTACTCTAAGAACCTGATTGGAGTAACCTTTCTGCTGCTTTGTCAACCTGAATTGGAAATGTGCTTTATTGGGTTTGTGGTATGACACATATACTGGAAAATCATTTTAATAAGAAGAATTACTTTCTCCTATTTTGTATTTCATTTTAACCTAACCCTATGTGCAGGAATTTTCAAGTTTGACAGTGGAATATCTATGACAAAATTCAAAGCATAACAGGAATACTATTTTTGATTTATTCGAAGAACATCAGGTGCCAAATAAAAATCTATGGTGTCATAAATTCATCTAATTCTGCTTTGTAATATTCAGTGCCGAAAATAA